CTTCTGATAAGGATAGTAGTTGTCTGTTTCCTTGTAGGAGATGCCAGAGAGGTCAAATCTGCCCTACGATGACCAAGGTTAGGCCGCCATGATGAATCTAGGGTTCACCCATCTTGTCACAAGTATACCCCTAGACCTTCCCATTCCTATGGGCACACCCCTAGCTCATCCCCTTCCTGTCACGCTTATGCCTATCATACATCCCTTCCTACAATGTGTGCGCCTATTGTACTGCCCCTTCCTGTGACATGTGGCTACCTGTAACTATGCCCCCGAAGTAGATATAACCCTTGGTTAGCAATAAAGTTAGGGTTCTCTCCTGCGCTCGTGGCTGGGCTCCCTCCACGAGGACCACCAAGCGGGGCCGAGGTGAGCATGCTACCATGAAATGTGTCTGACTCCATTAATTCAATCTCTCCTTTACCTCTCATGCTCTCTATGGCTTTACTATACTCTTTATTTATTATCGCTGTACAATTGTGCCTACCGGGCCTGTGATAATATGTTGGGGACCCTCTTCTCCCTACACACAGGAAGGGGCAGTACAATAGGCATGCACATCATAGGGAGGGGATGTAGGCATAAGCGTGATGATAGGCATAAGCATGACAGGGAGGGGTTGAGCTAGGGGTGTGCACATAGGAATGGGAGGGACTAGAGGTATACATGTGACAAGATGGGCGGACCCTAGATTCATGATGATGGCCTAACCTTGGTCACCCTTGGGTGGACTTGGCCTCTCTGGGGTCTCCTACAAGGAAGCAGTCAACTACTATGCTTATCAGAAGGCAGTGAGTCCTACTTGTTGTGGGATAAACAGTGGTGACTGCTTTCGCTAGATAGATAACCCTTAGGAAGAATAACCCCTAACCCCTGTTGACCTCCAAGTGTATAGTCATTCGCCACATGTAGCAAGCAGCTAAATTTGGGATATATTTAGGGGAGACAACTTGGGAGAAATCTTTCTGTTTTCCACACAGTATCTTACAAAATAGTAACCAATTACTTATTAATTTCAAATGGTAAAAACAGTATCTTACAAAATAGTAACCCAAGTTAGCATCATCCATGTGGGGTAGTGCTTCCTAATGTGATCTAGTGAGAAGGTGCTACCATCAGGTAAAACCTGCATCTAACTCTTAGGACATTAGAGGAATCCAAATTAAGGGCATTTTACGTGATCCGCACCCAATTTCGAACATAAAATTTGGCATTTCAAATTCACCCAGCATAGAAGAAAAGACTGGTGTTTAGTCTTTTAAAATGTCAGTGCCTTGAAAGACAAAGAAAGACAAAAGATAATCTCTTATCAAAGGCAACTGAAGAGACTTGATGCATTGATGTCATATGTGATCCTGGTTTGGATCTTGAGACAGCAAAACAATTCTGTAAATCGACAAAATTGGAATAAAATCTGTAGCTTAAATTTAGGATTATATTGATGATGAACTTTTGCATTTTGATAATCACACTATTACTAGATATTAATTTTAATGTCATAATCGATATCAGTTGCTAACCAAAAGGTTGGTTGCTGGAAGCCACAAGCAGAGCTGTTTTGCAGGAGAAAGGTGGGGAAGTCAGCTTCCATAAACACTATAGCCTTAGAAACAACGCCTTCGAGGCAGTTCTCTGCTTGCTGTGAGTTGGAATCAGCTCACAAGCAATGGGTTTGTGTTTTGAGTTAAGGAAATGCATGCTGACTTATTTAGTAAAGGCACGATGCCTGCAACGTATTCTTAAGAGGTTCAGAGGGGAAAAAATCTGTATCCTCATATCTCTATCTCTATCTATACCTATATCTACACTAACATATACATATATAACAAGGGGCCTGCTGACACAATGTTTAAGCTAGGGGCTGCAAATGGAATGGTTGGCAGCACCAGTTCTTGGCAATCTGTTCCCATAGAGAATTAAAGCTTAGGAAACCAGTGGGACACATGTACTCCGTCCTACAGGTTGCTATGAGTTGAGATTGCGTCTATGGCTCACAGCAACAACCACAGAGATTGTACAATAAAGCAGATAATGGGAAAATCTTGTTAACTGGTAAATCTGAGGGAAGTGTGCTACTGTTGCAGTTTCTCATATATTTAGAATTACTGAAAATTACCCAAGAGTGGAATTGTGTTTGGGAGCATAAATCACACCATGGTGTGGCATTCAGCCACAAAGTCTTCAGCCACTAATGACAAGGGCAACCCACCAGCTGCTCTTCAGGACAAAGATTTGGCTCTGTTTCTGTAAAGATTTACATGCTTGAAACATGTGAGGAAATGCTACTCTGTGATATAGGGTGTCTGTGAGTTGGAATTCCTTGTTGGCAATGGATAGCCGATGGAAATCTTTGAATATGCTAGATAGATATTGCCTAAATGTTTTCCAATATGGTTATACTAATCACATTCTTATTGTTCCCTATCCTCATCAATACTTGAGATTTTAAATCTGAATTTAAAATTTTCCCCCACTGAAACACACTGGGAATAATGGATATCCCTTCTAAAAATAATATTTTTCAGAGTAGCCAGGGATAAATGTGGGCATAAAATACCATTATGATTTAGTTTGGAGTTTCTAATTATGATGAGGCTGATCATCTTTTTAAATGTTTGGCTATGGAAGCTTATTCCTTAAGGACTCTCTTCCCATGTTTTTAGTCCAATTTTTGACTTTTTTCTTACAAATTTGTTGTTAAACTACACATATTCCAGAAATTAGTCATTTATCAATTAGGTGCATTGCAGATACCCATGTACTTTTGGAAGAGGCTTAACCAAAATATAAAATTGAGTGATATATTTTATTTGACTTGCACAGAACCCACTAGGTCAGGGGGCAGAGGAAATGTTGAATATGCGAGTGTGTAGGGTTTAGGACCTGACCTCTGTTTACAGTCAACTCCAATATGAAGCAACTTGAGCTTGCATTTTCAACCCGGCTTCTCCGAAAAGGATTATTTTTAGAAGGGCTGGCTACTCTCCCAGTGTGTTTCATTCAGAGATCTGCTAAGCTTGTTCTTCTCTTTCCCTCAAGACTTATAGCTAAATAATGTAACTCTTGAATGGCTAAATAATGGCCAGTACTCGGATTGAGTAACTCACTTGGAGCAGTATTGAAATGTCACCTACAGAGCAAGAGAGCAATTCCATAGGGACAATATCTTGGCTCATCTTTTGATACTAATTGAACTCATTTGAAAGATGGTGAAGAATAGTTTTTAAAAAAAAAGAATGGTTAAATAACTTAGACTTAACTACTAAAGGAAGTACTGTAATCTGAAGATCATTCAGGAATTTGTTTTATGGCTCCAGTCCCAAAGGTAATTAGGCATTTGGCTTTGCATGTAGGTCACTTGGACTAAGATCATAAAAATTGAGTTCCTGGGTATTGCACATGGTCACATGTCAATACATAATACATCTGGCCAGTGGTAACCCCATTGGTAACCAAATGGTTGGCAGTTCCAGTGCACCTAGGAGTGCTTTGGAAGAAAGATCTAGAGATGTATTTTTAGAAAATATGCCATTGAAATTCCCTTTGGAGCACAGTTCTACTCTGACACACAGGAGGTCTCTAAGAATTGATGGAATGAGCCACTGTTGGTAGTCGTGGAAGGAAGTGACCATTGTCCCCACAGACGAGGACACAAGTGACTGGCTTATTTGTTACCCATGGCCACGGAGCTGGTGATGCCTGAAGAGAACCTCGGGCTCCAGGTTCTCCTCCCTCTCTTCGCCAGTGCGTCTGTTTCAAAAAACCAGAATGTTGTAGCTCTGTCTATTGTGGCAAGCATAATCTCTCCAGGGGAAGCTAACGGTTCTCTGTAGTTTCAGGCCATTCTGAGCACTTTCCATGTGCCTCCCTGTGCATATAACGCCAAGCCAACCCCCCTCCAACTCGTGAGTAGATTCTGCATCTTTGTGGGAGCAGAGAGCCTCATCTTTCTTCTATCCATAAAAGGGTTGCTATGAGTTGGTAGTTTGCATTTTTTAAAGCAATTGACTCAGTGGTAGTTTGCTTTTTTAAAATCATTGTATTGGGGGCTTGTACAACTCCTCACAATCCATCCATCCATCCATTGTGTCAAGCACATTTGTACATTGTTGCCATGATCATTTTCAAAACATTTTCTTTCCACTTGAGCCCTTGGTATCCGCTCCTCATTTTTCCCCTCCCACCCTCATGAACCCTTGATAATTTATAAATTATTATTTTTCTCATGTCTTACACTGACCAGTGTCTCCCTTTACCCACTTTTCTGTTGTCCATCTCCCTGGGAGGGGTTTATATGTAGATCATTGTGATAGGTTTTCCCTTCCTCCCCCCACCTTCCTTTTTTAATAGTTTGCTGTGAGGACAGAATATATTTTATTGTTTGCTTCTTTCTTAACTTTTATTATGATTGGGTGAAGTTTTAAAGTGTCTATCTGTTCTCAATAATATATATGCATTTTGTTTCATGTCATTGATTACAGTCCCAACAATACAATAGCTCATCACAAAGGTCGGTAGTTGTTCCTTTTCGATGCTGAACAATATTCCACTGTATGGTTGTACCATATTTTACTTTCTGTTCTCTAACTGATGGACACATAATGTTTCCAGAGTTTGGCTAGTATGAATAATGCTGCTCTGAATGTCTACCTGCCATTTTGTTTGCTTTTTGACTTTATGGTTTTTACTGGGAGGAGAGCAAAAGTCTTTATTATTATATTGTTCATTTACATGTGGGATTTGTTTCTGGGTGTTTGTTCATTTATGCTTTAATGAGGAAATATAAATATTGAAGACCATAGTCGCATCACATTTAATTGTAATCATTGAGTAGAGTCTCAGTATTACATCCTTAGTAATATATTTTAAAAATAAAATCTGCTCCAGGCACCCTATTAATTTTATTCTGCTTGAATTTGGCATTCTGCATAAGTTTTAAAGCTGCCCTTTTGGTCAGTTTATTTTCTGTTGAATGACATTATCTCATGTTTTCTTTTAAGGTATCATCCAACGAGATGAGTCACCCATGGAAAAGGGGCTCTCGGGTCTTCGAGAAAGGGACTTTGAGCTCTCCGATGTCTTTTATTTCTCCAAGAAGGGATTGGAAGCCATTGTGGAAGATGAAGTGACCCAGAGGTTCTCGTCAGAGGAGCTAGTGTCATGGAATCTTCTCACAAGGACCAATGTAAATTTCCAGTACATCAGTCTGAGACTCACCCTGCTGTGGGTGCTGGGCGTCATGGTACGCTACTGTATTCTGCTACCATTGCGGTAAGTCACTCGCCTGACAATTTGTTGAAAGATGGCTCAGTTTTCTTTTGAAATCATAACTACATAAGACGATTGTGGGACTGCTATGTCTTGAATTGTGTCCTCCCAAACATGTGAGGTAAAACCTAAGCCCTAATCCTGTGGCTGTGACCCCATTTGGGCATGGACTTTCTTTGTTATTAGCGCAGGATGTGTTTTAAATGAATCTTTTCTGAAATATAAAAGATTATAAGCAAACAAGTAAACACAAACAGAGGGGAAGACACATACCACAGGATTGCCAAGGAGCCTAGTCACTGAAGAGACAGTGTCTTTCCAGGATGGAGAAAGACTTCCCCTAGAGTTAGTACCATTAGTTCACACTTCTAACCTCTAAACCGAGAAAATGCATTTTTGTATATTAAACTTTCCTACGTGTGGGATTTCTGTTATTGCAGCACTAGCTAACCAAGACAGGCACTAATCCCACTCCTTCCACTTAAAAAACACTACCTAATGACAGAAAAATGGGTGAAGGGAGACATTGGACAGGGCAAGATATGACAAAACAATAATTTATAAATTATCAAGGGTTCATGAGGGAGCGGGGATCAGGGAGGGAGGGGTAAAATGAAGAGCTGATGCCAGGGCCTTAAGTGGAGAGCAAATGTTTTGAGAATGATGAGGGCAATGAATGTACAAATGTGCTTTACACAATTGTTGTATGTACGGATTGTGATGAGTTATGTGAAACCCTAATAAAATGATTAAAAAACAAAAACAAAAAACACTACCCAATGTAATTTCTGCAGGGACTTACAACGTACCTATACTTATAATTGTTCCCTCCAAATTAGATGAGCATTTATAATCCAGTGGTGTACTACAGTTGTGCATTGAGCTGCTAACCACGAGATCAGCAGTTTGAAACCACCAGCCACTCTGTGGGATAAAGATGAGGCTTTCCACTCCCATAGTTTCAGGGCCACTCTACTCTGTCCTGTAGGGTGACTATGAGTCGGAATCGGCTCGATGACAGTGAGATGAATACTTAATCCGGATTCACCCTGCTTTTGCAGTCCTAGATCAAAAGGGAAGTTAGGAAAGAGAACAGGAGAAAGGATGTACAGTTTCACATTTACCAGGGCTTCAGTCAAACGGACTCACTAGAAGCCTTTCCGATCTATGTGGCTCTGAACCTGTTCATCGCCTCATGTTGTTGTTGCTTCCAATGGAGCCAATCCTGACTCATGGAGAAAGGAAAAAAAAAATCCTGAGAGTGGTTACCATCTGGGAGATTACGGTTTAATAGGAGTGAGTTTGTTGTAGTCTAATTCCATTACGATTGCTCACTCGCATTAAAAGTTTTCCAGGAGAGTTCTCCTTCTGCTTCCAAGTTGTACCACCTGGTGAAGAGGCCATTGGAACAACAGTGTGGAGCATAAACATGGAGAAGCAACCCTGGGAGTAGGAAGGAAGCTGCGAATGGCCTCATCTTGTCAGCGTGGAGTTGGCAAGTAGTAGATAAATGCACCAGCCACAATGTTGCAACTGATCATTGTGCTTCATTTCTCTGAGGCCAGGCATGGTCTTAGCATCCTCTTGACACAGCCTTCAGGCAGTTGATACCAGGCACAGGAGCTGGAACCTCTTTATTCTCCCAAGGGTGGCATATATTTGGCTCATTTAGATTTAGTGCAAGAGCAAAGGATTGCTTAAGTATGGAGTAGCAGTTTTCTACAACCTTCTTTCTATTTTCTTTTCCTTATGTTGCCAATGTGCAGAGATTGGGGCATAGTGTGTCTTTGGGGATCATTTCAGCTGTATTAGCAAAGTGGATTACAGAGTGTCACATAGACTTTTGCTTGAACCTTAAGCCAGTGCTCTTTCAGGGGGGCTCATGGACTCAGAAAGTGCACAAGAAGGCATGCGGGAAGAAAATGCCCATCCTTCTGTTGATGAGAAGCTTCTGTTTCCATCTGTGTACGTAGCATTGTTCTAAGGTGGCTCCCAACAGCACCACATTCTACTTTATAAACAGGGCTTCTATTTCATTGTTTAAAAGATGAAAATTTAGTGAAGTTTGATACATGGATTAGCCCTTGCATTCTCAACTAGTCAGGTACCTAAGGGAAGCATGGATCTTCTACAACACAGAACTTGAGATTCCTTCAGCTCTTCTTGCTTGGCCTTCACCACCTCACGGGGCACAGGGAAGCGTGTATCTAGTTCTAACTAAAGCGGTGTTCACGGCATCCTGATGAAGGCACCTCCTCCAGTAATGCGTGCATCTAAGACTAAGAAGAAAAGAGCAGACTCGAACTCCTACTACTCCACACTCTTTGGGGACAGAGGGATAATAGCAGCAATTGATTCACAGTTAAAAAAAATGAAAAGCAAGCGGTGCTAAAATAGTCTGTGGTAACCATTCATACATTTGCTGTCGGTGAATTGTATGGTATGTGGCTTGTTATCTCTCAGTAAAGCTCTTAAAAAAAAAGTGTATTTTGGTGTCACTTGGAGAACTATCATACTGGCCCACCTAAACTGAGAAATAGAAATTTCTGGACTGTCAAACAAATACAGTGAGGTAGTTAGTTTATTGTGCCAACCTGGCACATGTGGGGTTAATTGAAGGGCGGAGGGATAAATGGCTCAGTGAATCTCGCCTTTCTAGTTCTTGGGTCTCTTGCTTTCTGACGGTCCGACCACGGTGCAGCTGCCTTAGCCAGTTTCCTGCTTCAGCTGGCAAGGCTCACTTCCTGCAAGACATCCCCAAGGAGAAGCCACATGGACCTACCCCTATGCAGCCCTGGGTGCTGGAGCACCCGTGTGGAGACCCCTGCCAGAGCTGAGATGTTTACACATTCTCTGACTCGACTTTCCTCCCGCAGTCAGCATCATTGAGTCTGTTTTGTGAGGTGGAGGAGGACTTTGTGGATTGGTATTGGACATATGGGTTAATGGGTTAATGTTGGACTTGTGGGCTTGGGCAGCACTGGGTTGGGATGTTTTCTTGATGCACACTTAATCTTTATATAAAACTCTCTCTTTTACATGAGTTTCTGTGGATTTGTTTCTCTAAAGTACCCAGACTAACACATACAGAGTTGCTGTAATTTTGAACGCAATTAATTGTTAACATGTTAAAACACAACCCCTTCTGAGTGCATGTGTAGCAACTAGTGTTTCTCATTGGAGAGAATGACAAAACATCTAAAAGTGTTTACATCGTTAATGCGTGTGATTGAATAAGTGTTGTGCTGTTATAAGGTGCTGTCAGCTGACTTCAACTCAGTAATCCCAATTGGTGTAGTAGAACGGCGCCACAGATTTTTACAAAGGAACTCTCATGGTGCAGTGGCTAAGTGTTCAGCTGATAACCAAAAGGCAGGAGGTTTGAACCCGCCAGCCACGCCATGGGAGAAAGAAGGGTCAGTCTGCTTCCATAAAGGTCTCTGGTCTTTGAAATCCTAGGGGAGCAGTTCTACTCTGTTTTCCTTGATTAAATAATATCAAAGTGTTGTGTAAAATAATGATGTTGATCTACTGAGACAGTACAACAGGATGGTCAGGAACGTTGATTCTAGAACCAGGCCAATAGGGTTCAAATCCCAGCTCTGCTATTTCGTATGTCTCAGTCTCCTCTTCTGTAGAATCAGAATGGGAATATTGCCCCGCAGAGTTGGGGGTGAGGGTGGGGAAGGGGCACTTGAATGAATTAAATATATGAGAGTACTAGAGCACTTAGAATATTACCTGGCTCTGAGTATTTGTTGTGATTTTCGCATCATCTAGTATAAAACTGAGGGATTGGCTAAGATAAAGTACTCCAAATAGCTGGTGACAGTTAAAGATGGTTACATGTCAGGAGAAAAGCAGCTTGACAATGGCACCTACTCTTGACCCTGATTTCAACAGCCACTGTAGCCTTCTCACACTCGGCCATTCTGACACAACCTTGGCTGCTCCTTTCAGGTGGGTGCATTGAATTTCTCAACCATTCTGCAAGCATAATGTCTCACAGGAAACTAAGAAGATACTGAGACACCTCTGGGCAGATTTGAAAGGGCAGTGAACTAATTTCTGCCTTCTCCCATTTTACAAAGTAAACTATTTTTTTGGGGGGGGTGGGTGGAACTTGTTTTTAAAATGTGATTAAATGATTGATTTTCTCTTCCTTTGAAACCAAGTTCCATTTATTTAGAAATATGTATTTTACAGCTTACCCCTTTTTTTTAGGGTAATTTTGCTCACATCACTAAAAACAGCTGTGTTCTTTTTGAAGTCATTGAAGTGTGTATTAAGCACACTTCAGAAATGTGGAGGAGTCTTTGTGGAAATTAGAAGTATTGAAGTATTGTCAGCTACCTGACTTGCTAACTTCTGAGTTAAGAAAGAATTTCCGTGAAAGGATTTCTACTTGGCAATCTACTTACTATGAAGAGACTCTGTAAAGTATAACTTTAGAAATTTGCTGCACATTTTAAATTCCTCTGGGAAAATTAAAAAGGTTTATCCCTGTGTTTCCTCAGTAATAAATAAAGAAAAGCAAGTTACTTGAAGACCTTTACAAAAATTCCTTTCATAACCATAGGACACCACACCAAAAATAGTAAAATATGTACGTTCTACCTGAACTTATCTGAAGTTACTTTAGTTACTCCTTCTTAGGATATAACGTTTTTTTCTTGTAGAAGAGATTTATCTTTAGTTTTTGAAAAATCATTTTATTGGGGCCTCGTACAACTCTTTATCACAATCCATACATACATCCATTGTGTCAAGCAATATACGCTTGGTGCCATCATAATTTTCAAAACATTTTCTTTCTATTTGAGCCCTTGGTATCAGCTCCTCATTTTCCCCCTCCCTCCCTCATGAACCCTTGATAATTTATAAATTATTGTTTTATCATGTCTTACACTGACCAATGTCTCCCTTCACCCACTTTTCTGTTAACCACCCCCCTGGAGGGGGTTATGTGTAGATCATTGTGACCGCTTCCCCCTTCCCCCCCACACCTTCCCCTTCCCCTCCTAGTGTTGCTACTCTGATTATTGGTCCTGAGCAGTTTATTTGTCCTGGATTCCCTGTGTTTCCAGCTCTTATATGTACCCATGTACATGCTCTGGTCTAGCCGGATTTGTAAGGTAGAATTGGGGTCACAATAGTGGGACGGGGGAAAGGGAACCATTAAAGAACTAGATGAAAGTGGTATATTTCTATTTTTTTTTGAATCGTTTTATTAAGGGCTCATACAACTCTTATCACAGTCCATACATACATCAATTGTGTAAAGTGCATTTGTACATTCATTGACCTCATCATTCTCAAAACATTTCCTCTCCACTTAAGCCCCTGGTATCAGCTCATTTTTCCTCTCCCTCCCAGCTCCTCGCTCCCTCATGAACCCTTGATAATTCATAAACTATTATTTTGTCATATCTTGCCCTGTCCGACATCTCGCTTCACCCACTTTTCTGTTGCCCGTCCCTCAGGGAGGAGGTCACATGCAGATCCTTGTAATCGGTTCCCCCTTTCCAACCCACCCTCCCACTGCCCTCCCAGTATCGCCACTCTAACCACTGGTCCTGAAGGGATCATCCGCCCTGGATTCCCTGTGTTTACAGTTCCTATCTGTACCAGTGTACACATCCTCTGGTCTAGCCAGACTTGCAAGGTAGAATTGGGATCATGATAGTGGGGGGTGGGGTGGGGGGGTAGGAAGCATTTAGGAACTAGAGGAAAGTTGTATTTTTCATCATTGCTACATCGCACCCTGACTGGCTGGTCTCCTCCCCGAGAAAGTTGTATATTTCAACAGTGCTATACTGCACCCTGACTGGCTCGTCTCCTCCTTGTGACCCTTCTGTAAAGGGATGTCCAATTGTCTGCAGATGGGCTTTGAGTCTCCACTCCACACGCCCCCTCATTCACAATGGTATGATTTTTTGTTCTGGGTCTTTTATGACTGAGACCTGATCCTATCAACACCTCATTATCACGTAGGCTGGTGTGCTTCTTGCATGTGGCCTATGTTGCTTCTCAGCTAGATGGCCGCTTATTTATTTTCAAGCCTTTAAGACCCCAGGTGCTATATCTTTCGGTAGCCAAGCACCATCAGCTTTCTTCACCACATTTGCTTAAGCACCCATTTTTTTCTTCAGAGAGCTTGTCAGGAAGCTCAGCATCATGGAATACCAGGTTATTAGAACAAAGTGTTCTTGTGTTGAGGGAGCACTTGAGTAGAGGCCCAATGTCCATCCGCTATCTTAATACTAAACCTATAAATATATGTGCATAGATCTATTTCCCTGTCATTATATAAAAATATACTTACAAATGTACATGCTTATAGTTAGACCTCTGTAAATGTCCTATGCCTCCTAGCTCATTCTTCTATTTCCTGTTGTTTTCCTCTTGTCCCACTGTCATGTTCTGCCTTCATTCGGGTCTGCCCTTGATCAAGCCCTACTTATCTTTAGTCAAAAAAAAAATTAGTGCTCTTCGGAAGCTAGGATGGCCAGATTCCATTTCATACATACGTATTCAGGAAAGTACCAGTTCCTGAGAAAGGCCAGGATACTTAATAAAGTAGAGAGTCTTGAGAAAGACCTTCATCCAGCGCAGTGGTTCTCAACCTTCCTAATGCAATTCCTCGTGTTGTGGTGACCCCGACCATAAAAACATTTCATTGCTACTTTATAACTGTAATTTTGCTACTGTTCTGAATCGTCATGTAAATATCTGATATGTAGGATGTATTTTCATTGTTAGAAACTGAACATAATTAAAGCACAGTGATTAATCACAAAACAATATATAATTATATATTGTGAAATATTTATTTCTGATGACAAATAAATGAAATTTTGTCTTGAAGCATGGTGTAGCCTGGGTAACAGTCTTCACGCCGGGTACTCATATGTGGGTGTATCTGCATGTGCACGAACCCGCCTGGAGACGGATAGAGAAGCGGTGACTCAGTTCTTAAGACCATCAGAAATATGTATTTTCTGATGGTTTTAGGCAACCGTGGGAAAGGGTCGTTCGACTCCCAAAGGGGTTGCGATCCACAGGTTGAGAACTGCTGAACTAGGGATCGGTCTAGGAGCTGAAAAAGTGAGCGTAAACACACTAGTTCTGAGGCTGGTGTAGGACCAGGTAGTATTTCATTTGGTCGCTGTGAGTGCCATCGGATGGTATTTAACAAGGACAAAACCAAAGGAGCCAAGAGGAAAGGCTTCCTCCTGACTCTTTGATGATTACAGAGACCAAACTCGATAGCTTTGGGGTACTAAGTTTCAGGCTTCTTTCATACATATACTAGCAGCACATACATGTTTATTGTTATTTTGAAAATGTTATCATATTCTGCGCATTATTCTGAAAGTGACTGCTTTTTTCTCTCAGAATCCACCGGTGAACATTCTTACATCCTTACACCACATCCCTTGTAGATTTACCTAGTACCGTGTGGTTGGTTACATCGTGCCCCATGCTGTGAATGTTGCACAGTCTTTATTGGCTTATTTAAGAACGTTTAAGTGACTTAATTTTTCGCCCTGACTACCCCACTAACTTTTGGACTACTTCTCTTTTCTTTCTCAGGGTAACCTTGGCTTTCATCGGGATTAATGTGCTTGTTTTAGGAACTATGGTGGTTGGGCAGCTGCCATACAGCAGGTAAATGTTTCCTTCCGTTAAGCCACAAATAGGATTGTCTTTTTACTTAGCTGTGTCAACAAGGAGCTTAGTTGTCTGATAACTCCATATTGCATTTTATTTGTGGCTTCAGTTCACTCATTAGAACCCTGCTCCCTCCACCTGCAATAGTGTGTATTTAATTTTCCATCATCTGTCATTTATATGGAAAGTGGTTGTTTTTTTACCCAGGGGAAATAAATTGTGGAAGAAAATGGACAGAGACCACCAAGGGAGCATCTATTTAACTTTGTCTGGAATTCATCCTAATAAACTTAGTAGGGTGGGAGCTACTTTGAAAAAAACCCTTTTGTCCAGTATGAGAATTGAACTAGGGAGTATGCCCCGGTCTACAGTATGCTG